CTATATTTTTTTTGTCCAATTTAAGTTTTCACGGTTTTCAATATATGTTTCAAAACAAAAATATCTTTATACATGTAATTCCAAGTTCCAACATGTTAAAAAGTTTGAGATAATTCTTATAAGTAGTATTTGCCTATTTGGACAAGTATACTAAAAAAATCAAGACATTTATTCGTTTTGCGTACTTTCACTCATAAGTGTTTGGTAACAACTAAATTTGCACCATAAAGGCCAAATCGAAAGAATTCCTCAGACATGACTAACTATATCATATGCGTTAATCGCCCTTGTAATTAGATCAATTCATTATTCTAATACTTCCTCCGTTTTTAAATACTTGCTCCACTTTCCATTTGCAGCCGTTTTTAAATACTTATTTCATTTCCTTATTTGGAAAGCTTTTACAATATTTACTCAATTTATCTCACCTAGTGGTCCCAACATATATTCTCTCTCCTCCAATTCTATCCATTATTTTTGTTTTTTATAATTTTTATTCTTCCACCAACCCCACTCCCTCTATTTAAAAACGGAGGGAGTAATAGACATTGTAACTAATCTAAACTGATCCTACTAATCCACTAGATTAGTTATCCTTGACTAAACAAAACACAAAAATAGCCAAACAAGACAAAACAATCCACTTTATGAAACAAAAAAAAAAAAACAAAAAAAAACAACGTCAACTACCCACCATAAAACGCACCGTATGACCCTACACCCAGTCACAGAGGATCCAGAAATAATGTCATGTAGTAGAGGGGACCTTTCCGCGTTAAGCAACCAAGCTTTTTGTTTAGCCTTTCAACGGCTTCGCACCTTCCTTCCTCTTCCCCTCCTTTTATCCTCTTCTATTTTCAACTCTTTATCATCATATTTCATCATCTAATCTAATTCTACACAATTAAAATCCCCCAATTTTATTCAATTTTTTCTGCAATTTATTCGATCGAAAATCCTGATTTAATTTACTTAATCAATATGAGTTTCATCTTCGGAAAACGCAAAACTCCTGCAGGTTAATCATATTCTTTTTTGATTATTTATGTAATACAGTAAATTCTCCCTTTTTTTTTGTTTTTGATCTGATCTGTTATGTGACGGTCCAATTTATTTGATCATTTTGCATTGTAGATTAGTGTGTTGAATTTCATATAATTTGGATTTGCTTTGTTAGGGTTTTTGTTTGATTTTTAGAAAAAAAAAAAATTCAATTGTTTGAGTTTTAAGGTTTATTATACTGCTAGAGTAGTATAAATTAACTAGGTAATTCCCGAATTATGCTTGATTTTTAAAAGTGATTCTCTGTATTTGGAAATAGAACCATTGTTATCATCTTTAATGCAATTGTTTGTTACTAATATGTTTAGTGGCTCCTAATTTTGATGATCTTGAACTAATGAGATGGATTTACGTTGTTTTTGTTGATGTTAATATTAATTGGGTTATCAGTTATGCAAGATTTCTGAAGTATGTTTGTGATTTTGTGTGATAGAGCTTCTGCGGGAGAATAAGAGGATGTTGGATAAGTCGATACGAGAAATCGAAAGGGAGAGAGCGGGTTTACAAACTCAAGAGAAGAAATTAATTGCCGAAATCAAGAAGAGTGCTAAGCAAGGACAAATGGTTTGTCAATTTTATTCATTTTACGTTCTGTGTTAGCTTGTTTCGTGGCATTGATCGTTCTGCTTGAAAGTTAACTAGAAAAACTAGTTTAAACATGAAACATTTACTAATGTCAAAGTTAAGGTTATGATGGGTTGAATTGAGATAGGGCAATAAGCCGTATGTTCCTCTTATTGAATTGTGAAACCTTGCAGAGTCATCTTATTTAGAATCATTACATTGGTTTGTTTCCGTTATATATGAGTCTGCTCTTTTGAAGCATAGAGGTGATGATGGTACATGGTAGTGATTACTATGTTGTTTGACTCTTTATTGCACCTCAGCTACCAAACTACACATGTCGGTTACTCGATTTTTAGTCATTGACATTAGAATGGCTCTTGAAGATTTAAACACTTCATTTAGGGGCAAAAGTAGCCAAAAAACAAAAAACATAAAAAGGTTGCGTGGCATTTGGATGTATACCCCGATACCTGTGTGGCCATGCCTATCACTTCTATCAAAGTCTTACACCATATATAAATAGGGAGATTTTTAGGGAAAGTGAAGATTAACTTCTCCCTTACTTGGATGCCAATGGGGTAAATGATGGAAAAGAAAATTTCCTCGTCTTAATATTAACCAAATCCCTTCATTGTTGGTGAGATTTGGAAGGAAAAATGGAAGGTCACTCTTTCCCTCCCTTCCACTTCCCTTTCTCTTCCCTCTTTCTCCTTCTTGTTCCTTTCTCTCTTTACTATTGTTATCCAAACCTAGTATAACATAGTTGATATTTATAACATGCTAAAAAAAAACAAAAACAAATTTTATGGAGTAAAAACTGTCTATAATTGTACTGTTAAGGCTTGCGTGTACTGACTCCACTTACTATGCCGTATGTTGGAGCTCTAAGATGCAATAGGGTGATGTTGATAGTGATCATCTTTCACCATCTGAAAATAAGCTAATTTTATGGAGAAGCTTCATTTATTTCACCATGTGAAGCTGTAGAGTGCTGAATTTTGGAATGTTCTTGGCCTTTTATTTATTAATTGAAGGAGTCTTGTGTGCACTTTATTTATCAAATTTTGATGTTTGATTCTATGAATTCTTTTGTTGCCAGGGAGCTGTCAGAATCATGGCAAAAGATCTGATTAGAACAAGACATCAGGTTGAGAAGTTCTACAAGCTTAAATCGCAACTTCAGGGTGTTTCCTTGAGGATTCAGGCATGTCAAAATTCTCATTCAGTACAGTATTTATTTTCTTATTCAGCAGCATGCCATTCCATGCCATGATAGCGTTTAATCTATTTGGTGACTGGGCACCAGTGTCTTACTTTAGTGTTCATATAGATTTGCTTCTTGTTACACTGTTATTAATAATCATTTTCCTTGTACAAGCAGACATTGAAATCAACCCAAGCCATGGGAGAAGCAATGAAAGGAGTTACAAAGGCCATGGGCCAAATGAATAGGCAGATGAATCTTCCTTCACTCCAGAAAATAATGCAAGAGTTTGAGAGGCAAAACGAGAGAATGGAGCTCACCAGCGAAGTCATGGGAGATGCTATTGACGACGCTTTAGAGGGAGATGAAGAGGAAGATGAAACAGACGAGCTTGTTAACCAAGTGCTTGATGAAATTGGTATCGATGTCAACCAAGAGGTATTTTACTCAGTACTTTGGCAATTTCTTCTCTCTGATGAAGTTACCTCGCCAATAAATTCAATACATGTTTCTGATGATGTTTTGTTTGCAGCTTGTGAACGCACCATCAGGTGCAGTGGCTGCACCTGCAGCTAAGGGCAAGGTTGCCCAGGCTGAAGCAACGGCTACTGGTAATGATGATGGTGGGATTGATGATGACTTGCAAGCAAGGTTGGATAATTTGAGAAGAATGTAGTCTCATATGTCACATTAGTCCATGCTTTAAACAAGAGAGTTCAATATATGCTGTCTATTTTGAGCAAAAGTTTCAGCTTAATGTTTGATGCATTGCCAGCTGACTTTATTTTGTTTGTGTATATAATAAACTTTTAGATTGATTTGCTTCCTAATGAAGTTGCATTTGCTTGGTGAGGTAAAATAGATGATGTTATCAAGTTATTACCACTCAACAGAGTACATATGAATTTATATACAGTACATTATTTTGCCCACTTTTTCCATGTTCAGTGATTCCCCCCTGACTATGGTATGTGTATTTTTTTTTCTTTTAAAAACGTTTCTTTTTATTTATTGATTTTCTGTGTACTGCATTAATTTTATTTAGCTAATACTGATAACTTGAAGAGTTGTTCTTGCATACATCTGGTCTTTGGACATTTTTTGCTTCATGATGTTGATCTTGTTACTTTCTCACAATTGTTTTAAAGCTAGCAAATAGCTGTATTATCACTCTCTGGCTAGCCTCTGAGTCATCTTCTTCCTGGCACTTGGGACACTATTGCTATGTTTGGTACTGTATTGGTTGAGTTTTCCGGTGAAAGCAGTGGTGCTCATCTTCTTTTATCTACCACTAGATAATGTTGAAAGCAACAAGGGAAACTGAGGCCTCAAATTCAGATTTTACCGGCTGTTACTGACAAATTGACAGTCGTTCTCTATCCTGCCTTCTGTTTATTTCAGTTCAGATTCTGATGAAGGATGATAGGGTACACTTAGAGGAAGCCCCAGTTAATCAATTTGATAAACAAAGTACACTTGAGCCGCCAGCTTAATATATGTACGATTACTGCTCTTTGTACCAAGGCTGACAATGTCAAAGTTAGCTTGCTGATAGGAATTTTTAACAGACAACACCTTATTAACCATAAAAACTACTCCTATTGATAAACTGATAAGGACTGAATTGTTGAAATTTCAATTCTATATAAAAAAATCATAGTAAGAAGAATAATTGTGTTGTTGAACTGTACTCACTAGGTTTCGATATTTTTCTTATCTCTTAGCAATTTATTGTCATATATTTTTTTCTTTAATTGACCTGAAATTATGAAGAATTGGCATCTAAAACATGGTGTTTTTGAATTTATGAATGTTGCAACAAATCGAAAGTTTGGCGATTGCTAGTAGTCCAAAATTTATGTGTATCGGGAAGATGGGTAGAGATTGTTATATATACCCTGGGTGCACCGTACACCTACGAGTATTTTATTCTCATTTTGACAATTATTTTTCATTTAATCATCAATTAAAGAGCAAAAACTAACCTTGGATTAATTGGGTGTATAGTGTACCAGATTGTAAATAACAAATTCCACAAGTGGGTGATAGGTTTCAATTTGGCAATCGCCAGCTATTAGAACTCGCTAAAAACATATACTAGTATTAGTAACATAGATGATATTATGCTATCTTCTAAATGCATGTTCAAATTGTATATACTAGTATGTTGTAAAAATAAACCTCTTGTAAGATGTAACATTGCAACTAATAGAATAATAGATGTATTTTTTCTTACAAAAATTGCCATCAAATTAGTAACCCTTTGTGTATTACTTTACTTCTTAAGGTATAAAGTGGAATGGAATCCAATAATATAGAAGGAATTCAAATTCATCCATAATTTTCCAAGTTTGTATGATTGAAGTATATGGCTTAATGACAACACTACTTGTCTAGTTGTCTAATTTGAACATTCTCTACACAACTAAGACAACAAGAAGAGATAACTACATATTTAAAATCAAAACAAAACTAAACTTGAGCACATAAAAGAAGAAAACCAAGACATCTATAATAATTATACAGGAAGAGCACCTGAATCTGATAAACCTGCACCTGAATTATTCTCAGACCGAGCAACACCGATGTCTCCGCCACCACAACCACCCACCGGTGCTCGACAAAGCGGACAATCAAAATGCGAATAAAGCCACATATCAATACAAGGAGCATGAAAAGAGTGCTTACATCTAACCAACTCCCTAACATCTTCCCCTTCTTCAAACACTGACAAACAAACTACACACTCTTCACAGCAACTACTGTCACCTTCTTCTGGTAGACTGTTTTTGTACTTATATAGATTTGAATCCAATTCCACAATCTTCCGACCATTGAACTGCTTCGGAGCAGTTCCGATGACTTCCCTGTTTCTTGACCAAGTAGAGGACGGGTAGTCAGTGCACCAGTTAAGTGCTAAACAATGATAGATAGCTAAAACAAGTCCAGCCGTCACGACGACGAAGAATCCGCAGTATAACATGCTCAGATTGTAGTGACCGGGATGTTGCTCGCCTAGTGATGGAGGTTCTATATGATAGTGTGATGGATCACTCATTTTAGTTTGTTGGTTTTGTTTTCTGGGTTTTCTTATTTTATTTTATTTTGGTTTAACAAGTAAATAAATAAAGAAAAGTTGGAAAAATTCTGCAGGTTGATGTTATATGAAGGGGTTGTTAAAGTAGAGTTTAAGGAAATTTTGTTTGATTTGATTTGCGGTTTCCTAAGACTGTAGAATCATCATGGAAGTGAGGACAAAGCTTTATTTGCTATATGTGCTACCAAACAACGACGGCTGACATTTATTTTTCTTATTTTTATTTTTTTTTTAGGTTGTTGTCAAATTTATTTTCTAAATACAAAGGCTATGAACTTAGATCTTTTTTTTTCTTTTCTTTTTTCGTTAAAGGAACCTCTTAGAGGTTCCCTTCTAATGATGGATTTGAAAATCGGAAATATATTTAGTTGAGTGAAATTGTAGTTGATGAATTTTTTTATTGGGATCGAATGATACTGAGAATAAGCTTTATGTTCTTTAGTTTTATACTTGATGTTCATCAGAAGCACAGTGTACATTTTGAATACATTTATATCATCAAATTATTTTTCATTGTATTAAAATTGAAGAGCTCAACCGATAATATTCATTTATAATTTTCTTGTCCAATAATTTAAGAAGAAAATTATGGGTCCACCTCTTTGTAACTCTCATAATTATTGTCACATACTAGGACTCTCACAGATATGACATAAATAATTGCTTTCATTTATATGTCTTTGTGAAAACCCCTGTTTTTTTGTGGGTGATGTGAAGCTTGAGCTATAAAAAGCTGGATAGAAAAAATCTAGTTTCCTGGTATTAGATCTTTTTCTGTTGTGTGAATATATATCTTCCCCTAGGTTGTCCTTAACTATTTGATACTCCGCTTATCTACTATAGAAGTAAAGCAGATATTTATTAATGAAGAGGACACACTATTAAAAGGAAAATTAACACACGCGATTGGTGACTAATTGGGCCAAAAATTGACCTTATTCTAAATGCCATAAATATTAAAAATAAAAAATAAAAAATAAAAAAAAAATTAAAAATTAAAAAAATAATAGATCTTTATGGATAAAATTAAAAATTAGCTAGTTTGATACGATTAACTCGAAAATCATTACATTTTAAATAATAGATCGGATTTGAAGCATGTGTTATGAAAAGTTTTGTTTATTTTGTTGAGACGTGATTATATGCATCTCATATTCAAATAATGATGGAAATTGTAAGATCAAGCACCCATGCGGAGTCTAATTAAAGGAGAATCTGATTTATTTAATATATTAAGAGTAGTTTGTTGTAAACTTGTAATTAATGCAAAGGCTACTTGTGGGTTTGGGTAAAGCCTTTGCATAAAGTGGAAGAGAAAAGAAGTTTTACTTAACCTATATAAGTTGGTTGATTACGACAGTTATAGAGTTTTTAATCTTTTTTATTTATATTGTTCTCAAAAACACCGAATATCCAAAAATTGAAAAACTTAACTGAGGCAAATTCTTTTTGTATGCAATTCTTAGTATATTAATACTACCTCCGTTAAATATTATGTGCAATTTTGAAATATTTTATATCTCACAAATAATACTTCAAAGTTGCACATAACATTTAATGAAGTGATGCTTTTTTTTTGGAGGTTTTATTAATGGTTGGTCGCAATGAATCCCAGCATTATAAATTTTTCTATTTCAATCTAATTGACAATATGGGTCTGTTCACTTCAACTTAATTTCAGTTCAGCTCCAATCAATTTAGTTCAGTTCAGTCCAACTTTTAATTTCCTTCTCTTACATAATATTCATTTCAACTCTATTTTATTCAGTTCAGCTCCAATCAATTTGTATATGAGTGAGTTAGAGAGGTATTTTCTTGGAGGAGAGAATGTACATGAGTGAGTTAGAGAGGTGAAATGCATGGAGTACATGTGAGGGTAGATTTGTCAGTTGAAGTTAAAATACGATCACTACCTGGTAAAACATAGGCGTGGTTTAGTGATTAAAAAAAATCTTCTGTTTTTTATATCACGATATTTAAGAAAATTGAACCTCACATAATATACGAAGTAATACATTTAAAATGGGGTTAATAGGTTGTAAGGAGCATAATTAAGTGGGTCAAACGCTTTAAATAAAGGAAAAAAATATATGCAGCCCTAATGGCTACATATAAGAAGCTAAAAATAGAAAGAATTGACAATAAATAAACACTTATTACACCGATTTACTCATGAATTGTTGATAAAAATAGAAAAAGCCACAACATTGACCACAGCAACAATAAAAATACTAATACTAATTACTCAGGGTTCGTTTGGCATCGCTGTGATTTTTTTTTTGGTTTTTTTAGTTTTTAAAAGTATATTATATATGTCACATAATGATAAAAAAATTATTTAGACTTATTAAAATGATGATAATTTTGAAAACTGATAACAGAAAAGTGGAAACACCTTTTTCTTATTTCTTGTTTTTGGTTTTTAGTTTTAAAAAAAAAAACAGAAAACTAAAAACCAAAAATAATGTCAAACAAGCCCTCAATTAATCACAAAATTGCTAATAATTATAATAATATTACAAAGATAACAATAATAAATTTGATTAATTAATCAATAAAAATAAATAAATTTTACATCTTCCCAAAAAATTAGGGTGGATCCACTTAAAATTTCGGATCCACCTAGGAAGATTCGAAAGTAAGATTCGGAAATTTTAGGCAGATGTGGAGATCCGCCTAAAATTCCTGGATCTACTTAGGTGAATTTGGAAATTTTAAGTGGATCCTAATTTTTTAGGCAAGTGTTTTATTTCAATTTTTTTTAAAAAAAGTACGACGACTTATAGAATCCTTCGACGAAGTCTTCGGTGTCTGAACGTTGTCGTTGTCTATTGTCCTAAACCCATCGCTAATGTTTTGATAATTTATTTTTTTTAAAAAAAGCTCGGATTTTTGGTGGTAGATCGAATGTGGTGAGGTCGAGTTTTTTTTTTTAACATGTGGTAGTAAGTGCGGGGGGTTGGGAATGATAGTATACCATTATATACTACAACTTACACAAAGGGTAATATCGTCCTTCCATATCAAAAAGGGAGTGATGTCCTGTAAAATAGGAGCTTTGTTTAGCAGTTCAATTAAATAAAGGTAATAGTACAATTTTCACTATAAAAACCTTCTTTTTATTCTTTGCAACTACGGATTATTATGGAGTATGGCATATTTATTTTAGGAAAGTGTTGCAACTATAAAGAAACTGAGCTTTTTTGGTGCAGCAGGCCACACCGTGTGGCCTGTTGCTAAGTCAGTAAAAATAACGGATTATGCGAATATAACGGGGTTACTATTCACTCACATAACGGGGTTACTGGTTTTGTGGGTTACTTGTATTTTTTTTTTCAGGGATTACTTGTATTTTTTTTTCCTGGGGTTACTTGTATTTTTTTTCTGGGGTCACTTGTATTTTTTTAGGGGTTACTTGTATTTTTTTTCAGGGGTTACTTGTATGGATTACTTATTCACGAGTTACTTGTATTTTTTTTCAGGGGTTACTTGTATGGATTAATTATTCAGGGGTTACTTGTATTTTTTTTTCAGGGGTTACTTGTATTTTTTTTTTTCAAGATTTACTTGTATTTTTTCAAAGGAGTTACTTGTATGAGTTACTTATTCAGGGGTTACTTATATGAGTTACTTCAAGGTTACTTGTATGAATTACTTATTCGAATGTTACTTGTTATTTATTCAAGGGTTGCTTGTAAGCCCCATACCGCAAACCAGTAACACCCTACTAGTAACCCTTGAGCAAAAGTAATAACACCCTATAAGTAATCCCTTACCAAACCAGTAACACCCTACAAGTAACCCCAGAAAAAAAAAACAAGTAAACGAGCTGGTAATACCCTACAAGTAACACTCCTGAAAAAATACCCTACAAGTAACCTTTGATCAAAACCAGTAACACCCTACAAGTAACCCTTGATCAAACTAGTAACACCCTACAAGTAACCCCTGAAAAAATACCCTACAAGTAACCCTTGTCCAAACCAGTAACACCCTACAAGTAACCCTTGACCAAACTGGTAACACCCTACAAGTAACCCTTGACCAAACTAGTAATACCCTACAAGTAACCCTTGACCAAAACCAGTAACACCCTACAAGTAACCCTAACCAAACTAGTAATACCTTTACCAAACCAGTAACACCCTACATGTAACCCCTGACCAAACCGATAACACCCTACAAGTACCTGAAGGAGTTATGTCTTCGATAAGTGCAATTACTAGATATATCAAGGATCACTATTATGGAGATAATAAGTTCATTCTATAGGGTCGTCAATGTTTGGTGCTAGATATGACAATTGATCTTTGGGCTAGTTTAATGGCCCAAAGCCTTATATAATGGATCCTACAAGGTTACACATAAGAGTACTGGGTTAAACAAGTTAGAGGCCCATTATTGGGCCTCATGAGTTCATGACATACCACATTGATATTTGGGCTTGGATAATTAGAAGAGTCTAATGGGTTTTGGACTTGACATGGTTTTATTTCTAGATATGATCTATAAATATAAACCATGCCTAGGGTTGCATGATATACATAACAATTGACATACAGTAAATTGTTACACAATCAACCAAGCATCCCAAACCCTAACTCTCTATCTACTCGGCCCTCTCTCTCTCTCTCCTCCCTGTCCGTACGACCCTCCCTTGTGGGTGGCGCGTGGGTGGTGTTGTGGTGTGTTCGTGGCTCGGATCTCCGTTGAAGGTTGATTGAAGTGTTCAGTCACAACTAACTAGCATTAGTGGAGGTTTAATCCGTGCTCGTAGACTAAGTAGAGGAATCACACGTGGGGTTCTTGTTCTCCTTATTGTTCTTGTTCGATCACTTGTGGAATCACGCTTCAAAGGTATTATTCTTACTCTTTATGTGTTATGCATGAGATCCTTGGTTAGGTGCTATATGAATATGATTCATGATTATTTCCGTTGCGTAGTACCTATAATTCCCTACAGTGGTATCAGTTAGCCTCTTGCAATTACATATATTGAGTATCCATCCTTTGATAATCCACAATTTTAATTCAATTAGGAGGGAGAATAATTTAATTATGGGTCAATTAGTATATTAAATGTGATTTAACATATAGAATCATTAAAAGTTGTTTAATTTTCTCCATATTAGCCCTATTTTGACCCGATAATTTCCCTATGAAGTTCAAAAAAATTCAAACCCCCCCCCCAATATTTCGAAAATTTCGAAATCAAGAACCCTAATTTATGAAATTTGTGTTTTTGATTTTGATATAATTCGATATTATGTGTTTAAAGAATTTAATCCTTTTGATTTCATGTTAAATTATGAATTTTTCATGATCACTGATTTAATTTAAAAGTTAAATTGAATAGGGGATTAAATTCATGAAGAACCCTAATTTTGAAATTGAATATGATTTAATTTTAAAATGAGATGGACCACATTAATTTTAATTTTAATAAAAATATTTTGTTTTAAATTAAAAAAAATCAATCAAAAAAATAAATAAAAAAAAGGATTGAGGTGCGGCAGCCGCGGCTGGGTGGCGCAGCCGCGGCGACTGCCGCACCGGTGGTGGTCTAGGAGGGAGGGTGGGTTGGGCTCGGGTCGGTCAAGGGGCAGCGCAGCAGTGCACCACCCCGTTGTGTGTGCTGTTGCTGCTAACCTTGCATCGTTGCAGGGGCAGCGTACACTGCAAGGTGTACGGCCACCGTGGCCGGCTTCGGCTGACCACACCACGGTGGCTGACGCGGCTTTTTCAAAAAAAAATATATTTTATTTTATTTTGGATAAAATCAGTTTTTCAAAAATAAAAATTAAAAGATAAGTTTTGATTTTGAAAAGATAATTAACAAAGTTAAAGTTTTTAATTTTGTTAAGATAGGATAAATATGGAGCAAAAGATTCTATTTGGATACTAATTGATTAAATAATGTGATTATCCCATTATTATTTTAGGATATTAATTGATTTAAAATATGTGATTGGCAAGTAATTAGGATAGAATTTCCTAAAAGTTAGGATAATCATGGAAAATAAATATGATTTATCTTCCATAATTAAAATAAGATTTGATTCTATCTCATACCTAAATTAAAATATATGATATTTTATAATTGGTTATGAATAATATATGATATTATCTAATTACAGTAATTAATTAAATATGAGATATTTAGGAGCCATGTTTCCTTTACTGTGAACATTCGATGTTGTAGTTTAGGAAAGCATGATGAGTGATTTATTATATGGCATTTTATAATATATGATGTTATATATAGCTATATAGACTAGTATGACCCATAGATTCTAAATACGATCTGCGCATCGTTTCGTATTTTTGTAATCTAAATACGGTCTGCGTACTGTTAAGTATTTTTGTAATTTATTTTATTTTATTTAAGTAGTAGATAGAATAGAATAGTATTACAGGTTGCAGTTAATCCAAGAATCCATGGAGTGGAGGCCCAAAGGAGCAAGATGGATGAGATCCATGAAGGTTCAAGTGGGAGCTTTTGCTTTATTAGTTTTCTTAGGATTAAGGGGCCATACTATGTCATGTTTTATTTATGCATTAGTAGATTATGCATGTTAGATTTTATTTATGTTGTTTGATGATGCGCTAGAGTTCACTAAATAATCACAACATAATGAATCTAGGTCGTAATATTGAGGTAGCTTTTCCAATCAAAAACCCGATGAAACCTACGATATTTATGATGGGTCATGCCAAAGCAGGGTGTCATATTATATCTTAGGGGAGTGGGGGTAAAACAAATTTTACACTTTTGATTGGTTATACTCAACAAGGTTACCTAAAGAGTTTAGAACCTTGAAGCTAAGGGTAATAATTAAACATGTGATGGACAATTATTCAACCAAGAATTACAAAGAGTTGTAATCAGTAAAGAGTTTACTCACCTTGAAAATGTAATAGTTGATGGTAGGGCCAAAGTCCGGTCAATTATTGCACAAATAAAGGATCTTGGAATCATTCTATTCAACAGGGATCAATTAAATTGAATGAATGTTTTAAAGTTACCAGTTTTATAATCGCTTATGGTACTTTAAAATTTTATTAAACATAATTGAATTTTGCGATTACTTTTAAGTAACATGTCGTTCTAATTTTATTATTATATATAATCTCCTCGATTGAAAATAAAGTTGAGAAACGTTCTCAAAAGGTTAAAAGATAATCCATAAAACTATATTCCAATTTTGCTAAGATGGGTCTAAAAGGCAAGTTTTAGAAATCCATGTCACATGTCTAAGGTTGGTTTTATTCAAAATTTTTGAGTAAAATGCCCACACATCTTCATTTTGAAAAGTGTTTCAAGGGATACAATGAGATGGGAGGTACAACTCTCTAAAAGACAAGTATAGAAGTCCAATAAAATCTCTTATCTTCAATATGATTGAATATAAGAAAGTGATTGGAAAACTCTATGATCAAAAGTTGATCAAATGACGCTATTCTTCATCCACTTTATATAAGAGTTAAATAGTTGATTAAACTCTATTATAAATAATGATTGAATAGACTTAGCAAAATCATGAAATGTGCTTAAAGTAGTTAAGCAAAGCATCATTTTGAACCTAAGAGAAGTGTTCTAAGTGGCTCAAATGGGAAAGGTTTAGGAATATATGAGGATTGCATTAAAAAGTTATAGGCCAAGAAATGCAAATAAGTTGCTACTTCTCAAACCTAAAACTACTTATATGCTAAAAGTTGTTATGAACAACAAATGTTTCAAATTAAATGGACCAATTCCAATTGATTAGAAACTACCTCATATAGTTGGAAGGTAAAAGAATGGAAATGTTCCAAATTTAAGAAGTGTATTATAGAAATTGATTTAGCATATTGCTACTTCTTGGACATATGATGTCTTGTTTAGATCACTCATTGCACAATGTGGTTGAACTAAAGGAAGAAGTTATAGCTAAAAGAGAAATAAATCTACAAGTTTAGAAGCAAATGTTGCTACTTCACAAGTAGAATCTACAAGTCTAGAAGCAAAAGTTGCAACTTTACAAGTAGAACTTATATTTCACCTTACCTTGTTATTGGCTAGAATTAGGACGTTTTACCAAATTGAGCTTTAAACGGAAACTATTTACGAAAATGGTTGCGTGGCAAAACTATTTACCAAACTAAGCTTCCAGCATAAAACGCTGTCTCGGACAGCGTTTTACCCCTGGTTTTTTTTTTAAAAAAAAATTCAACTACAACTATTTTATATGTTCAACATAAAGCTCTGTCTCAGACAGCGCTTTATGCTTGAACATAAAGCGCTGTCTCAGACAGCGCTTTATGCTTGAACATAAAGCGCTGTCTCAGACAGCGCTTTTCTGCTGGAAACAGCAACCAGCATCCAGGCAGAAAACAAGCTTCAGCAAACAGCTTGCATGCTGCAGTCCTCCAACAGCCACCACAACAGCCAGCTCCACAGCCCTACCCCACCACCGTCGACCACCAACTCCGCCACTCCCCACCACGTACCACCACCATATTCTGGGAGTTCCGTCAACTTTAAGCACTGCAGAAAACTCGAAACAGCCCAACAACAGTCCAACCACCAAATTAACTTCAAAGCACACACGGAGTCATTCAAAAAAGATTTATTATATTAATTTCATAAGTGTTATGTACATCATTACACAAAATAACAGGGAATACAACAGATAATACTAGCCCGACTCATTTATTCGGGGTAAAGGTCCTGCCTCCTGAGTGTCGGCCCTCCGTCTGACACGTCGCCGCCTGTAATGAGTGACGGTGGTGAATGGGTCTCGGGGCGGTGGGGGAGTCAGCTGACTGGACGAGGGGTCCTCCTGGGTACCAGAGGGCGCAGTACTGTGGATGTTGTAATCCTCTGCGTGTCTGGGTGACGTAGGATCACATCCACCGCTGCTCTGGCCGAGATCGAACTGTGAGTTGCCATCATGACCGTCCCGCCGGTGGGCGAGATGAGCGTGACCATATCTCCGTAAGGTAGCGACGCCCATATCTCGCACCTGCTCGACCTGGGCTCTAGTGGGTCCGCACTCAAGGGAGACTGATAGCGCATCAACCATCGCCACCATATCCGCCGCCTGCAGTAATCATCGATCAGTCAGATCTATGGCATACAAATATGGAAATTGTTGAAAAGGAGTAGAAAAATAATAACTCACATATCCGCTAATGATGTCATATGCTGGATGGTAATGTGTGGATGGTGGTGCGTAGCTGGGGTTGATGAAGCGTCGTGTGATACGCCTGTACCACACCATGTACGGATCGTCGGGATCCATAGCCCCCTGCATTAGATCACCTCCAACGATGAACTCCAACCGTTGCTCCCATAGCTGAAGGAAACGCCAATGCTCCAGCGCCCAGCTGGTCTCCCCCTTTCCCCGACGATCAATGCCGTGAAGCTGTACACTAGTGTCACACCCCTGTGGGATAGTCTGGCGTAGTCCAAACTGCCTCATGACTCGGTCGGGCAGGTGACTCTCCACAACCTCGAAACAGATCAGGGGGACCCTAGCACGCCACTCCGCCTGATGGTCTAGCAGATGTGGAGGCATGGCATCTACCAAGTCAGGTACATACGGGTCCCATGTCACCTGTAAATACACATCAACAGTAATATTATGAATATGTTAGTTCGCAACAAGTACAATGTTAAAACAAAAAAGCTAAAACTGTATTTTAAATTGTTACCTGGTCCTCGGTGAGTCGGTCTAGGGCGTTTCGGTAATACGGAAGACCCCTCGCCGCATGAGCATGTGTCAGCCTGGGTACCACCCACCTAATATCGAACAATGTTTCAGTTAACAACCCCGCGCATTAAATAAAGCCTAACTCAATGAAAGTTGTATCGAACCTGCAACCATATGCCTCATCCGGTGTAGGGAGCGGGGGAGCATCGTACGCCTGGTACTGGTCGTCCTGGTCCTGCTCCCCCGACGGTGTATCGCAGGTCTGCCTGGTCTGCCTACATGGATATGCTCCCAAGCCCAGAACTGGCACACAGAGACACAAAACTAGCTTCAGTATGAAATATGTAAGTGCGTGGTGAAATAGTTTTTTTGGTACAGAAATAAGTGAGGTACCTGGAGGACAATCAGGGGACCTCCAATCTCGTTAGCACCTACGTGGGATGCTCTGCACAGCTGGCGATACAACGTCGCCAGACAGGCGCTACCCCAGCTGTAGCCTCGGATATGATCCCAGTCGTGGTCCAACAGCTGCATGTAAATGAGCTGGAGATGGCTCCCGCTCTTATTCCCGAACAACACGCCCGAGATGAGGAAGAACAAGTACGCCCGGGCGTATCTCTGAACCTGGGCGTCATCAGCCCCTGGTGGTAGCTCACGGAAAGTCTCACGGACCCAGCCGGTCCTCAACCCGGATCCCCTAATATCGGCGGGACCTGGCTGGACACCAAGTACCCAACCAACCAAACCGACGGGATCGACTAACGCGTGTCCTGTCACCGCAGACCCATGTACTGGAAGGCGCGTAAGAATCGCCACGTCCCGTAACGTAACGGTCGTCTCACCAACAGGTAGGTGGAAGGAGTGCGTCTCCTGTCTCCACCTCTCCGCGAGCGCAGTGACAAGCGCTCGATCGATCTCCCTATACGCCATACGGTGAAAACCACCTAAACCGACAAACTCGACGTACGCCAAAACGCGAGGATCGATTCCCCACCCCACCATGAACCTGGTGGTGTAATGCCTGCAAACGAGCTGCTTTGCCGGATCAACCTGTTAGAAAGAAATTAAGATCATATACCATATACACTCAACAAGCTGTAGTCCATGAACAAACAAATGCAATATTACCGTCTGATCCCATACGGCAACGCTGCGGTGTGTGCCCTGTAGTGTAAGCACAGAAGGGTCAACGGGTCCAGGCGTACGATCTTCACCGTCCATCGTATCTGTTCACATGCAATTTAACAAATCCCAACAGAGTTAACGCATTAGCAATTAACCAAAATGTTAACGATCAAATGTTCCAAATGTTATCAAATCATTCATAGTCATGTTCGGTTCTAGTGTTAGTGGTTCCATATTTCCCCCACTATACTCGACCCGGGGTCCATCAAACAGAATTTCTCCTCCCCACCGGCATAACAAAACTACATTTTGTGACGCCATATTCTACATAACCAAAACACATTTTAGGATTATCGAAATCTAGAGCGAGGTAAATTATCAACACTGAAATAAGACTCTTCTCACCTATAACAACTTCACTTTCAACAACTTCACCAATTTCAACAATTTCATGAACTTTGAATTATTTCAACAATTTCAACCTAAACTATTTCAATAATTTCAACAATTTCATCTCTTCTCACCAATTTCAACCATTAACAACTTCAACATTTTCACCATCATCAACTTCACCAATGTCATGAACAATTTCAATAACAATGTACCACATCACCATCAATAATTATCAACAATGTACCACATTTTCATTAATAATTAGCAACAATTACAGGCAATTGACATGAATTAACAACAAGTAAGAGCAATTACATACAATTCACAATAATTAACCACAATAACTATGCAATTACACTAAATTCAGTTTAGGGCTAACCACGAAATTGAGTGAGTGAGTGTGAGAGGGAGGAGGGCAGCAGCAAGGTGGCGGCAGCAGCGGTGGCGCAAGGGTGGGCGGCGGCGGCAATGCGGGTGTTTGAGTACGGTCGTGGTTTAGTGTGAGAGGGAGGAGGGAAAGCGTTGAGGTTGAGGTTGAGTTCTTGCGCATTCTGCTGAAGTGAACATGCTGATATATGGCCATGAAACGCTGTCCCGGACAGCGTTTCATTTAAAAAAAAAAAAAAAAACGCTGTCTCGGACAGCGTTTTACCCATTGAATTTTTTTTAAAAAAAACCCAAGGATAAAACGCTGTCCGAGACAGCGTTTTATGCCCTACTGAATTTAAAAAAATACAGAAGGTAAAGCGTTGTATGTAGTACATAAAGCGCTGTCTGAGACAGCGTTTTATGTTCAACATACAATTGTTAATAATTTTTTTTAAAAAAATACAAAAGGTAAAAACGCTGTCCGAGACAGCGTTTTACCAACTGAATATTTTTTTAAAAAATACCAGAGCATAAAACGCTGTCTCGGACAGCGTTTTATGCTGGAAGCTTAGTTTGGTAAATAGTTTTGCCACGCAACCATTTTCGTAAATAGTTTCCGTTTAAAGCTCAATTTGGTAAAACGTCCCTAGAATTAAATAAATGTTATTCATTCTTGCCATTATCAAAATACCATTCAATGTTAGTAATGACTAAGCATCAAAGATTCAAAAATGTGGAATAAATGTTATTCTATGCTTCATTGAGTCATAATGTGTTTTGAGTTGCTAAATAGGTTCAAAGTTCTATATGATAGAAATAATTGAACCATTTCTATAAATGAATTGTCTCTAAAATGTCAAATAATTCGAACAAAAATGAACATTGCATACGAAAGATCCAAAGGGATGGACTTTCAATATCATTAGATGATGAATCCATTGATATATGTAATTATCATTCTAATTTGAAATTTTGACAAAATCACCATTTAGAGAAATGATGATGTGAACTCAAGGTCGAATACATATTGATGTAAGAAAACCAAAGGTTGAAAGGCTAGAGACGGACAATGAAACTTCATTTATGATACGATCACTACTTGTACTTAGTTGAAGCATAAGAGTGAAAATTTTGAAAAGTTCAAAATGTTCAGTATGAAGTTCAGTATCAACTTGACAAGATAATGATTACATTACAATATGATTGTAATTGTGAAAATTTAAGTCAAGACATATACTTGGCAACACATTCAAAATATCGTGATATGATCGTAATAATGAAAATTTAAGCCAAGACCTTGATGAACATCCAAGAGTTGTGAAATCGTTTTACAACAAACTCCGAAAGAAAACCTTGTGAAGTGTTTATGAAGGGAGCTATCAATCTATATAAGATATATTTTGATAATGGATGAAAATTACCTATCTTCCAACCATTGTTCAAGGGATATACTTTTAAGAAGAGCTACAAAACTAAACAAACTACAAAAATCTTGAAAAGTTCGAGAGCCTTGAAAGAGTTCAAGAAAAGTGAATTCGAAAATCTTGAAGAAATTTGAGAAGTAATCGAATCAAAGCAACAATATGAGCATGATTCACCTCATGTTACAAGTGACAACGCATAGTCTCATTAAGTGTAATGGGAATAATAACCATGTGTCGAAGGTAGTACATTCCAAGTGCACATCCTCAATTGTCGTTTCTCATTGAAACTAAACAAAGTTGTTGTATAAGTTTCAATTGTTGCATCAAAACCCACAATGATGACTAGCATATGTAAAACTTAGTCAAAGAAATATGATTTCATATTGATTAAGAGTTCTAAAATATTCATTTTGGAACATGATGATTATGCAAGTAATAAATATGATTTGACAAGTTATGACTCCAAGTGGTTTAAAAACCAGGAAATCTGAAATAGATTCTAAATCTGTAAGCAAGTGTATGACACTTGAATAATTTGCCTAATTGGGTGAGACCCATTATAAGCAAAACAGACAAGAAAGAAAAAGGTTTTCTAACTAAAGCAAAGACTTATTAAAGGATTCAACTAATTCATAGTATGGCTACGATGAAAACTTTATATTAGTCATGTTGCAAAGATCTATTAAAGATATTTTAGTGATTACTACCTTATAAGATTTGGTAGATGGACTTCAAAACACTTTATTGAAATTGTTCATGAAAGAAGATTTGTATATGATACAATCAAAAGTTTGAAGATCCAATAATCCTAGGGATGCATAGCATCATGGAGTTAGTGTTCTTAATTTTGTGAGTAAATTAAATCGTTTGATGTTCTCGTAAAATGAAGAAAAGGTCTTGTGTGTACAAGATGTTTAGTGGGAGCTATGAAGTCTTCTTGGTCTAGTATAAAGAGCAAATTATTCATTACTTGAAGAGTCAAGTGGTGGGTAGTGCATTTTGTATGAAAAACCTTGAAGAGAATGATGAGTACATTTGGGATTCAAAATCTATAGAGATAGGTTTTGATTGATGTTTGAGTTTGGTTAAGAAGTTTATATTGATAAGATTCGTATAAGGTTCAACATTATATTGAAAGGAGTTTCCATCCCATGTAACATGGCACATTGCTTAATGATTCAATACTTTGAGAAAGATTGATGAAATTAAGGGGTTGAATGATGATCCTCATGCAATATGCAAAGGATGCATCATGCATGTCGTGGACTATACTCGTCTATTTGATTCACACGTTTTAGAACAAGTGATGATAGATTTCTATCAAAATCCAATATAATGTTGGAATACAAATTAGAAATTCCAGAGTTCCTTGCGAAAGGGCGAAGGAAAATTCTTAGTGTATGGAGATGAAAATGATTATAAGATTTAGAAATTGCAAAGTTCATGTTTATGAGAATGTCTCATGAACTCTACTTAATAAACCCCTTCCATTTCCAAAGCATGAGAAACATGCTAATGAAATTGGATTGAGGCAAATGATGTGATTAGAAGTCGTATTTGTTTTTGGGGAAAAACAAGTTACATGTGTAATACATTCATTTGCAGAATTATGTTTATCAATTGAAACAAAGTTTCAATCTTATTTAATCGTGGTTTCAAGATTAAATAAAATGTCCAAAATAATTATGAATTGATGGGCTTATCAGGTTGATGACCTGGTGAATGAAACCCCACAGGTGAACTAAATTCATATATTATTTAAGTTCCTAGTTCGGAATCGTTAAACTGGACATAAATGATTTCAATTCATGGACTAGCATGTAAGATTGATTGGATAGCGCAGTTTCATGGGCTATAGGAGCGTAGTGAAGCTCGGTCAATCACATGGATATGCATGAATGATGCATGATCGAACTACTGACCTACTTTGAAGTTCAAGTATAGAGCTTCCGGATATATTAGTGGATTCCTTTGACATGAGTGGAACATTGATTTCATTCAATGATTGATTTAACTGTGGTACATTCAAACGTCCAGTTGTAACTGGGGATTATAAAGGGTGTTTCCCGGTTGCTTCATGAGTTGAGTGGGAGCTTTGGTTGCCACAAGATTGAATTGAGTCTACCTATTTAATTAGGAATGTGTCTTGGCCCCTTAAAGAGGGAGAATTCAGAAAATGCATGGTCGTGCTCAAATGCATTACATAGTAATCATTTGTTCTGTGAATCTCACTCAGTATTTCAAGAAAAGATTTGTAGACTAATATGATCACGACATGAGATGCAATCATATTATCAAATCGACACACATTGACTTAAGGAATTTGAATATTGCGCACTTGTCTCAGACAAGCGGGAGATTGAAGGAGTTATGTCTTCGATAAGTGCAATTACTAGATATATCAAGGATCACTATTATGGAGATAATAAGTTCATTCTATAGGGTCGTCAATGTTTGGTGATAGATATGACAATTGATCTTTGGGCTAGCTTAATGGCCTAAAGCCTTATAGAATGGACCCTACAAGGTCACACATAAGAGTACTGGGTTAAACAAGTTAGAGGTCTATTATTGGGCCTCATGAGTTCATGACATACCACATTGATATTTGGGCTTGGATAATTAGAAGAGTCTAATGAGTTTTGGACTTGACATGGTTTTATTTCTAGATATGATCTATAAATATAAACCATGCCTAGGGTTGTATGATATACATAACAATTGACATACAGTAAATTGTTACACAAGTAACCAAGCATCCCAAACCCTAACTCTCTCTCTACTCGGCCCTCTCTCTCTCCTCCCTGTCCGTACGGCCCTCCCTTGTGGGTGGCGCGTGTGGTGGCGCGTGGGTGGTGTTGTGGTGTGTTCGTGTCTCGGATCTCCGTTGAAGGTTGATTGAAGTGTTCAGTCACAACTAACTAGCATTAGTGGAGGTTTAATCCGTGCTTGTGGACTAAGTAGAGGAATCACACGTGGGGTTCTTGTTCTCCTTATTGTTCTTGTTCGATCACTTGTGGAATCACGCTTCAAAGGTATTATTCTTACTCTTTATGTGTTATGCATGAGATCCTTGATTAGGTGCTATATGAATATGATTCATGATTATTTCCGCTGCGTAGTACCTATAATTCCCTACAGTACCCTTGACCAAACTAGTAACACCCTACAATTTTTGACGTAGAATGTTCGATCTAAGATTCCACGAAGAAAACGAGCTCACATTTCTTTAGTTCTCATCGATGTCACTACTTCAAATGTTGTTGATGATCTTAAGGATAATTAATCACAATTTTTCACAGCAATTTAACACCCAATTTCTACAATTTCGGGCTTTAATTACAACAATTTGGCAAAGACGAGAGAGAAAATTGAGTGGAGTAGAGATATAGTTGTTGGTGATGTGTGGTTTGGTTTGAAGAAGAAGCTAAGAAAAGAGGAGAGAGAAAATGGGTGGAGTAGAGATATGATTGTTGGTGATGTGTGGTTTGGCTTGGAGAAGAAGATAAGAAAAGAAGAGAGAGAAGAGTTGTGGTATTTTAAAAAAAAATTAATAAAATTGTGGCTAGCCACACCCTGTGGCCAGCCACATACAAAAATTTGTGATAAAGAAATGGAGGAAGTATCACTTAGGCTCAGTTTTGTTCACCTCATTTCCACTTATTTCAAGGCATATGTTTAAATAAGTTGTGATAAGGGTTAACTATGGCTACCCAAGTTTAATTTATAACTAAATTAAGTTCTAATAATTTTTTATAAGATCAAAAAAAGTTCAGATAATATAAGATAAGTAAAAATCAAGTGAATAGAATGCACTCTTAGA